TGAGTTTAGCTTACAAATAGGAAATGTCATATCAAATGCATCTTTATATTCACAATCAAAAGAATTGCATTCCAGTAAGGACATGACCCGAGTACTTTAACCGAGTGGTTCTGCTTTCAAATGACACCACGAATAACAGTTAAGGCCAGAGCCCTCTGATTTGATGGTTGCTGCTAAATGATACAATTATATTACGGTCATTGTCGCAATCTGTATGTTCCCCAATGTTTTTCTATCGTATGAGTTGTGATTCATAAGGATACAATTAATTGACATAAAACCTTTTGTTTGCTAAGGTTAACTTAAATTTGTCCCCTTAGACAAACAACCACCCCAAATCTACAAGGATCTCTTAAACGACGTAACCCATGACTGCTAACAAGAATCATTCTTTTAGGTTGGGATCATGAAAACCCAAGATGATGGAACCATGGGATCTTGATCGAGTTATGTCTTCATTCTTCCACCATCCGCTTTAAGCTTCAAGTGGTGAATTCTACAATTTAAACCCTAAGTTTGCTGCTATTATAAGTTCAATTTTCCATTTTTAATGACTAGCTTTAATAGAAAGTGCTCTCCCGTTATCAAGATAGATAATTAATCATAGGGGCTTACGCAAATAGGAAACCTGAACCTCAGATCAAAAAGTCGTCGCTAAATGAGGGAGAAATCTCTGAGTAGTGTCATATCTACAATCTAATCTGTCATCTGAAAATTTGAACCTCAAAGCTCTCTCTTTCTCAACAAATCAAAAATAAAAATCAATGTACAGAGAGTTGTATTGGGGAGCGGTCGTAAATTTTCGGGGCCCACAACTTGTATTTTAGTTTTTTTGAAGGTTAATTGATGACCCAATAAGTCTTCTAAGACCGATGGGTTAAAAGAATATTTTATCTCTCAATCATAGCGTCTCAGTACATTATCCAATGAGTCATTTAAGAGTTGGGAAAACTGACACTCTCCCTAATGCCCCCTAACAAGGGTAGACACCGAAAGGTTGCCAAATAATAATATGAATTTGGACTTGCAAATAATTTAAAATATGGATTTTCAAATTTACAAATAGCTTAAAAATATGAACGTTTTTAAAATTGAAAAAATGACTTGAAATTTGAATTGTTTGGCTATTGGACATTAAAATAAAATAAATAAAAATATAAATCATAAAATGCATATTTGAAATAAAATGCATACTATGTCCAGTAAAATATAATGATGAAAGATGAATACAAAAATGATTAAATATGGGATTCGATAGCTCATTCAAAAATTTGAATAAAATTTTTAATTGAACTCTTTTATAAAGTCGATGTATAAAAAGTTAAATGTCTAAAACATCAAATAATTTCGCCATCAGATTTGCAATTTGAATTCACAAGCAGACAAAAAACGATCTTTTCAAAAAAAGTCAAAATGTGATTTTTTGTGCACACCACTGAGATAAATTAGCACAAGCTTTTAAAGATTTAAAGAATTTCATGAGGCTTAAAATAGTGTGTAACTTAAATGCAACGCCTTATGATTTGTGCAAGTGCACTATAATCTTTTCAAATGACTGTGTGAAAGTGATTTTAAGTTACGTACATTTATTTTAATAAGCGGGATGAATAAATTTCATTGATACCAATATTTGCACTTATATTTCAAAACATTTTCCAACTAAAATGCATTGTTCTAAAATATGTGCAAGTATTTTTAAATGTGCAATTAGATATTGCAAATGCATCAAACATCATATTATATTTTGAAGTGCATAAAATATTATGATTATATATATGCGTCAAGTTTCATGTAAAATGTGCAGTTTGAATACAATGAAATATGTGCACAACTTTAAAATCATATGCTTCCACATGCTCCAACCAGTATATAGAGTACTCAAATACTTGGTTCGATAAAATTGCGGGTTACCTTAAAATTAATATTAATCCATCTGCATGTGCTCCACTAAATTAATTAGTATTTAAATTTAAATGATCTGAGATTGTTGTGTGGGTTAAGGTTAAATGTTCACTCAAAAAGTTTTTGCATTGAGAAATGTGTCAAATATATGATTACATTAAATTAAAGAACCCTCATGTTTTAAAAATCAAATCCAAGATAATCAAGCTACACATTCTCAATTGGGTCCCTTGTTTAGAGGGTAGGTTTGTAAGTTTCATAGTATGATCCTTCTCTTTTTAAAGACTGGAGTCAATGAGTCTAGCAATTTCAATAATGTCAAGATAATAAGTATAAAAATTTATAAGTTCAAATCATCTAATTTGATCCTCCTCCTGATAAAAACTGGAGTTGATAAGACTATTATTTCAAATATATTAAAGTGTCAAATATCAAATAAATTATAAACATAAGTGTTTCAAATGTTTCATTGGTCTGATGATAGCTGAGTTGATAGAAAATTTCAATCGGATGTGTATATTTTCAAAATAAAGTTTCAACAAATATCTAAATAAATTAAACTGTTATAATAACTAAATTTGATCCTCTGTAAGGAGGACAGAGTTGAAAAAGTTCATATACAATCATAAACCAATATGAAGTTCGATCATTTAGTAGAAAGAAGTAAAGACAATAAGGGTCAAATCAAATGATCAAATCTCTTATGATGGCAGTATTGATAGAAGATTTCAACAACGGTATATCTTAAAAAATTAAATTTCAAAGTGGAATTGAATAAATTCAAATAATATATATATGAATTTCATCCTTCATATGCGTGATAGAGCTGAGAAGGTTCATAAACAAAAATATGTTCATATTAAGCTTAGTTTTTTTACAAAAAAGAAGCAAAATTGACAGGGTTCAATTCAAGCAATCTATACCTCAATGAAAGCTGAGTTGATAGATGATTTCAATCGGAGGGGTCTATTTTCAAAATCCAATTTCAAAAAATTTGAATGAATTCAATTGATATAATTCTATGAACATAATTCCCTGTTGGAAGAACAGAGTTGACAAGACATAGATTCAATCACATCCCTTTGGAAACAAATTCTCTGTAAACGGGGCAGAGTTGATAAGGTTCAACTCAAATGATCAAATCCTCAATGATGTCATGTTCACTAAAAATCTCAACTAGTGGGGTCAACTTTTATATCAAATTTCAAATAAAGTTTCAAAATAACAAGCTAAAACATTGAAATTAAAATCAACCACTTAAAGATTTCAAACAAATAAATAACAATATTTAAATTAAAATTAATCACTAAAAAAACTTAAAGCAAATGTCATTCACCTTCTGTAATAGTTTGTCTGGGTGACAACTCACAAAGAATGAATGTCACATTGAGTGTATTATTATATTTATACTCGAAACAACCTTATGCTAGTAAGGACGTGGCACGAGTCATTCGTCCCTGTGATTTGGCCCAACAACTTTAACAAAACTAGAGGATACAACCAGAGTTCTCTGACCGGGTAGTTTACTGTCAAATGACACAATTATATTACGTCATAACTGTAGCTTGTATATTCCCCAACAACTTCCTATCATTTGAGTTGTGAATTATAACAGTACAATTGATTGATAGAAAGTATTTTATTAGATAAATTCAACTTAAATTTGTCTCCTTAGACAAACATCCACCCCAGATCTAAAATGGTCTCTCGGATGATGCAACTGATATTTGCTTATAGAGATATTTCAATCGGGTTGGGTTAACTACCTACTTTGACTAAGTAAATAGAGACAACGATGACCCGAAATGATGGAATCACAGGATCTTGATCGGGATTATCTTCATTTCTCCAACATCCACTCTAAACTCAAAGTGATAAATTTTACAATTCAAACTCGAAGTCTATTACCATTACACGATGAATATTCAGTACTTAATGACTATTATTAACTAAAAGTGCTCTCACATTATCGGGAGGGGTAATTAATCATAGGGGTTTGCGCCTATGTGAAACCTTGAATCCCAAGTCAAAATCTCCGGGTAGTGTATTATCTACAATCCACCCTGTCTTCTAAAAAGTTGAATGCCAAAATGAAAAAAAAAACTCCCAACTAAATGAAGAGAGTCTGATGCATGAATTTTCGAAGATCGCAAATTTCTAGCAATTCCAATAAGGAAAATTTCTTTTTTCATATTTGACTAATAATATAATTATTATAATAACAATTTAGAAAAGAAAAATGAATAAATAATAAATAAAAAGCTAAATTAAATTTATTTATTATAGTTATTCATAAACTTGAGTAAATTAAGTCTGGTGAACATCACAATATGACTCTTAGATCTTAATCTAAGAATCTGTTGTCAAAAAGTCCCAACAAAAAAACACATTGTGCTAGTAAGCATTAAAGCATGACCCTTCAATTCCAATCCAAGAGTCTGTTGTCGAATGGTCCCAATAGAAATTAAACTCTATCTGATGAGCATCCGAGTGTGGCACTTGAATCTCAACCCAAGAGTTTATAATCGAAAGGTCTCAAAAAAAAGAAAAAACTCTATTGGGTAAATATTATAGTATGTCACTTAAATCTCAATATAGAAGTCTACTGTCGAAAGGTCCCAACATAAAGATAAATTCCAGGTGATTCACATTTGGGGGTCTAACCAAAATGGGTGTTAACTTTGGTATCCCAATGCATCAACATTTTACAACACATCATTCGAGCAACTTCAACGACAATGAAAACAATTTTGACATGATCTATGCATGCATCACCGCATCCGTTTTCAGTCATCTTTTTTGAGTGGCCATTATTTAGCATTTTTGATATTTCAAACTCATTGTCAGAGTTCATCCTACGAATGAGTGATGATTCAACTGGCTTCAAGATTATCAAAATATCCTGCCCTTAATCTATCTGATATCACATTCATCGTTTGCCACTCACATTATATATGATAAATTTGACTAATGAAATATATATAAATATAAATAAATATATATATATATATTGCCTCCCACAAAGCACTTCCATTAAGAGTCTTGAAAAATTGAAAGCCAAAAAAGTTGTTGAAAATGAATATCTTGATAGGACTTACTTCTTGTAAGAAGTCAGCAATCCCCTTCCTCTTGGGGCACTCAAATCCCATGAATTTAAAGAATTCAAGCGCGTCTTCACGAGGACCTTGATACACAATATGCCCCTCTGACAGAAGAATGATGTCATCGAAGAGCTCATAAGTCTCCGGAGGAGGCTGAAGCAAGGAGACAACTGCGGTTCCTTCAAGAATGCTGACAATATGTCTCAATGACCTCACTATCTCAAAAGTTGTAGAAATATCAAGGCCCGTTGATATTTCATCCATGAACAATGCTTGTGCTGGACCAACAATCATCTCCCCTACATTATAGTGCACATGTTCTTAGATTTGCTAATTTTAAAAGGAGGATTTACATACATACCGCACAATTCCTATGCATATGCATATCTAACGCCTAAACTTCAATTTTTGCATATATATATATGTATGTATGTATGTATGTATCTATATGTATGTATATATATGTATATTTACGTATGTAGATATATGTATACATATATATACATATATATACATACATCCATGTACTTATATAGATATATCTATACATTTATATATATATATATACGTGTGTGTGTACATATGTATATATATAAATGTATAGATATATCTATATGTCAAAATAGTAGTATTTGTTATGTAATATGAAAGATTTTGGTGTGTAAATGTAAAAAAGTAAAGTAAATGTGTTAGATATGTAATATCTATGAATTTAGTGGTATGTATGCATCTATTACAAATCTTAATAGCAACAATAGCTTAATGGCTTAATGAGTTGAAAAACTAAGTTAATTTACCTATGGTGACACGCTTTTTTTGTCCTCCAGAAATACCTCTTAACATTTCATCGCCTACCATCACATCAGCACAATTTTCCAATCCCAGAATCTGTAACCAAATAAGAAAATAGCTTAATATTCTCTATTTTTATTTTGTTCCTGACTTCCTCCTCCATTTCTAATTGGTGATTTTATCAATCGAACTACAAAGGGTACCTTGATAATATAATCTGTGATCATACCATTTTCTTTCCCTTCAATTGACGATGCCTGAAATATTAAAAATTTAATATTGCAGTCTTACATTTTTTTATTTATGTAAGATCTTAGCTTCATATCATGCAAAAGAATTTTGGCTTAAATGGTTTGAAATAATAAAGTTATTAATGAATTATATGTTCATTCAACCTTCATGAAGACATCTATGTCAATGTCAGGTTTGATATTTCCAGCCTTTTCTCTCCTTAGCAATTCAGTCAACAGATCTGTAGGTAGTATACATAGATAAACAGGTTAATTAAATGTTACAACCATAAGAGTTTATGAGCTTTTTCCATAATGCAGATTTGCTTTTTTTTTCTCCTCACCAAAACGATTGCCAACCCCTTGACATCTAGCAGAGAATGAAAGAGTTTCTCTCACGGTCATCTCTCCCAAGTGGAGATCATGCTGGCTTATATAAGCTGCCGTTCTTTGTGGCACAAACTCATCCATTGTATGGCCATTATATGTCACATTTCCAGAAACCTGCATCAATTTTTTTTAAGATAATCGTTTCGTTGTCTTAAGCTTCATAGGATTAAAAAAGAGTTTCATGAATTTAACAACTTAATATCATCAAAATAACAAAAAACCTTGAGATCCGATCCTAGTTTCCGAGCTAGAGCCAATAACAGTGTAGTCTTCCCTGAACCGGGGGGGCCTAAAAGCAGTGTCATCCTGTAATTTTCATGTTTAGCTTAGCTAACCGCTAAATAATTGTAAAGCCAAAGCCATTTAAATACCTGCTAGACTTGACGATTCCGCTAACGTTGTGGAGTACAGTGAATGCCTTCTTCTTGCTTGGAATTATATGAAGGTAGTTGCCGAAGAACTACAGTTAATGGGGGAAAAAAAATTAAGAAGCGACAGATCGATCTCGGCTTCGAGCTCCTAACACTATAAACTTTAAGTACCAGAAAATTCCGAGAGGAAAACTGTGTATACCTCAATTGTGTTAAGAACTGAATTGAAGAAGGAGGGCAAGTTTCTGCTTCCCAAATAAGTTTGAGCCTCAACATTTAGATTCTCGAACCGCACCTCGATGGTTGGATAATCGATTCCAACTCTGTGATACAACAAAGCGGCATTGGGAATTAACAAGACAGAGCTTCATTTAACGAAGCAGAACTCGGGCATTACATCTCATACCTACTGAATCTTTCCTTGAGCTTGAGAAGAAACCTCTCGTTATCTTCTTTAACACCTATCAGTCTCTCAAGCAGCATTCTCCTCTCCGGAAAGCTGAGGTTCTTCATTTCGATCTCTTTGAGCTCCCCATCTTCTGATTTCAGAAATCCCTTCTTTGCTCTGTCGTAGGTTGGAAGCCTCTCGAGCGCAGCCCATCTGGAATCTCTCTCGTTTTCGTCGTCCTCCCTCTTGCTCGAAGATTGGGAGAATATGGAGTCCTCCCCAGTCCAAAGAGCAGAGACCCTTCTGCTTCCCGGATGGGCCGGTTCCACAGTGTCCATTTTTTTCCCCCTGAAGATTATGAAGGGAGCGGCAAGAAAACGTTTAAATAGATGAGAGCAGAAAATATGCACAAAATTATTAACAGTATTGACGTACATGAAGTCCAAATCATATTCCACACAATGTTCTCGGGGCTTGTGTTCAGCTCATTTATATTTTGAGCTTAGTCCAAATCATATTCCACACAATGTTCTCCTTGGGAAGGGGGTTTAGGGGGCTTGTGTTCAGCTCATTTATATTTTGAGCTTAAAAATTGTGTTCGTGTTCGGCTCGCTAAGCAAACGAGTCATTCACAAACAAAGAGTCATTTTGACAACTTTAATCACGTAACTATAAGATGTTAAGAATTGAAGCAAGATTTAAAACATCATTTGAATCTAATTTATTAGTTTTTATTCTATTTTTTTTAGTTAATACTTTTAATTGATTATAGATCTATGTAGCTTTGTAGTCAATTAATTTTTTTTAGAAAACTACTCATCATATATATATATAGTTCGGCTCATTAACTCAGCGAACGAGCTGAACACGAGCTTCTTAATGAACCAAACACGAGCTGTTCGCGAACAACGAACCGTGAGAATTGAGGAAGTCGATGATGAAAGGAGATGGACTCCAAAAATTGTCATCATTTGACACGAATCTCAAGGTATGGTCCATATCTCGAGACAACCTTTTGAACAATAAATATTCAAAAATCAATAAAAAGTCATCCCGAGCTTTGATTCCATCAAACTTATAGTCAAGCTGACCAGCTCGACGAGACGAGCCTAATGATACCAACATTGATCCAATATGAACCAAATCAAGCCCTGATAAAAATATTAAACCATGTTTGAAAGTTTTTGGACACATTTGTAGATTCAAATAGATGCCAAATCTGACGAGTTTATAGTTGAATCGAACATTTCAGCAAATTGAATCTAATGAGCCCAAGATTGCTCAACATTGTTAAGACACTCAAATGTTCATTAAATGACGTCTGGTCGAGGGAAGCTCTCCGAGTCATCCGATCAAAGTGGTTCATATGCATGCATTAATTTAGGGGGGGGGGGGGGGTTTGAGAAAAAACTGGAAGCTGTGAGAAGAAACTGTAGTCCAGTACCACTTCTATCGCCTTCGATCGCCATGGACAACCATCGACAACTGACAATCACCATCGATCATCGTCGAGCACCCTTGCCACCGTCCACCATCTCCAATCTTCATCGACCATTGCTGGCCATTGTCAATCACAACTAACACCGTCAACCACCACCTACTACCCATCTTATTAGTCCTAATCTTTCAATTAGAAAACATCTCAAAGATATCATGCTCTTTTAGCAAAAGTCATCCCTAATAACTCTTATGGTTATGCCATCCAATCTAATCTAACCAAGTTTTGACTAATTATTTCCTTGCCTTAATCATACATATTGATTATTTCTTTTTGTCATGTGGACATACCCTATGGTTGAACACCACTACTTTTGGGTATACATTTATAATCAAATCAAGCATTCTTTTCTCAAGTAGATTGTCCCTAGTTAAGACATCATACACTTTGAACATATAAAACTTTTTCTTTCTTCCATCTTTCAAGTATTTATGCTAAATTTAAACAATTAATTTTTAAACTTGATAGTTAATGGCCTTAATTATCACCTCATATTATTATATTGGAAAATGACAGAGGCAAGTTAGAAAGATTCAGTTAAAAATAATTCCCTTAATTTTAGAACTTAGCATATTTATGATGGACTATTTATGATTATTAGGTTCATTCGAAAATAAAAATTACTTTATTATAATGTGACCTAATAATTTTGGGCATGCCACCTTTATCCTTTTGCAAAATTAAGTTGACTATTTTAAGCTATAACTAAGACTAAAAGTTTTAAAAACATTTATTTCTTACCTTCTAAAAATTATAATTAAGTATCTATTGTTGTGAGATATATATACAAGTTGTTGTGGTATATATAGAAATAAAATAAGAGAACGATCTTTGAAGAAGAGAAAAATGGAACGAGAAAACTCACACCAGAAAACAATATCATAGTGGAACACATAGATTTACGTGGTTCGGCAAATTGTCTACGTCCACGGAGTTGCAGAGGATTTTACTACTTGAAGAATTTACATCAGTTGATTGTCTCGACTTACAAGATGAATTTCTCACTTCGTTGCTCAGTCTTCTTCTCTCTTTGTTCTTCTCTCTCTACATCAAAATACACCGAAGAAACTTTACACCGAGATACACCAAAGAAGATAAACTTACAAGAGAAATAAAATAAATTTCTCTTCTGCCACAAGCCACCAAGAAGAAGCCAAGGGAGAACAATCTTCTTCTTCTTCTTTCTTCTTCCTTCTGCTGTAAGGAACTACTGCTTGCACTTTCCTTCCTCTATCCCAAGGAAACCAAAGAAGAACACAAAATGTTCTGCCATAACTTCATCTGAAGGAGAGTTGCTCCTTTTTAACGTGAAATCGGGCGTGGGAGCGGTTGAGCGAGGAGGCTTCACGGAAACAGGAACATTGGAGGCAGGAGTGGTTGGCGCGACGTTTTGAGACATATGAGCGGGGTCACGACCTTTCGCGGGAGTTGGGAGCGGGAGGCGGGATGGGGTCAGGCTCCACACCAACAAATCTCTCACTTGGAGGTCAATATAGTAGCTTCAACGTCTTCTTCTTCAAACAAATATCCTTCACTAGCAGCGTCGTCTTTTTCTTCAAACATGAATCATTCACCTCTGCAATTCAAAACCTCTATCTTAACTCCAGAAGACCAACTGAAGTTGTGCACAACTTCAGTTTCTCAAGAACTTCCACAACTTCAGTTTCTCAAGAGTAACACCCTCAGTCAACATATCAGCAGGGTCCACATAGCCTTGCACCTACAAGCTATTTTTACTCTTGTCTCTGCTTACAACTCTCACTGCATGGACAATATTCTGCCTCTGCTGAAAGTCTTTTTCAACAAGTCTAGCATTGTACTTCTTACTGTCATCAAGCTCAGTCTTCACTCGGTACACCCACTTGTTCTGTACCACTTGTTCTGTAATTCTTTCTTTCATGATGAAAGTTCTGTCAACTCTCACTTGCTCGAATTTTCATCTTGACTAAAACTTTCATTTTGCAAAATTTCCTCATGCCTCTGTGGTTCTCTACCATCTGTCTGTGGAACAATAGGAATGGGTGCCCCAGACCCACTCTCCTTTTCACTTTCATCATCAACAAAACTATGAACTACCAGCAATAGTGCATAATGCACTTCTTCAGATAGCACATTTGCGCTATCATTTTCCATCTTCTTGAGATTACTGCAATTCTCTTTATGTGGCCAACCATGCCACAATTTCAGCAGGTTGCCTGCTAACTAGACTTTGATTTTGATCTCCCTTTATTTGAGTTCCTGTCACGTCATCTCCCTCTGAAATCAACATTCAGTGTCTAACTCAAACTTGAGATCTCACCAGAATCTTTTCTGCGCACTTCCTCAACCAAAATCAAATCACAAATATCATCACATTTTCAGTTTATATTTACCTGCAGAACTGCTAACTATCATCCTCATGGCTTCCCAACTGTTTGACAGAGATGCCAACAATATCAGCGCATGTATCTCATCATCAAAATCAGACGACAATTGATTTGTGATATTATTGAAATCATTCAGGTGTTGAGCGACATAAACACCTTTCGCCATCTTCAAATTGAATAACTTCTTCATCAAGTACACCTTGTTATTCACTGATGGCTTTTCATACATAATTGATAAGAATTGATAAGACTGTCATTGAGATCTGCAGTCATCCTTTCTTTGACGATGTTGTGTGCAAAAGACCTCATTAGGGTCAATCAAATAACCCCTAGAACTTGTCGATTCAACAAATTCCATTGAGTCTTATTCAACATTTCAGGTCTTTTCTTAATAACGAAAGATGAAGTTTCTTCCTATAGAGGTACTCTATTTGATGGCCTCATTCATCCTTACGGCTTTGCAAACCATTCCCGTCTTTTTCTGTTGTGAAGCGAAGCATCCCTTCGCTCCCTCCTGTTTATAATAAAAGGTATCACACTGCTCTTCTTCAGTTAGAGAAGTCACAATTTTCTTCTTCGGGTTTCCTCATGATAGAAGGAAGGAAGGTGCAAGAAGTAGTTCCTTGCGGTGAAGGAAGAAAAAAGAAAAAGAAAAAGATTGTTCTCCCTTGGCTTCTTCTTGGTGGCTTGTGGCATAAGAGAATTGGGTTTATTTCTCTTATAAGTTTGTCTTCTTTGGTGTATCTCGGTGTAGAGTTTCTTCAGTATATCTCGTTGTAGAGAGAGAAGAAAAGAGAGAGCAATGAAGTGAGAGATTCCTCTTGTAAGTCGAGGTGATCGACTGATGTAAATTCCTCAAGTGGTAAAATTCTCACCAACTCCGTGGACGTAGGCAATTTGTCGAACCACGTAAATCTGTGTGTTTCGTTGTGTAACTGTTTTCTCGTGTGAATATTTCTCGTTCTATTTTTTGCTTCGCCAATCGTTCTCCTGTTATATATATATACCACATCAACCTGGTGTATATCTATAGATCCTTGCAACAATAACTGGTATCAGAGTTTTGTTTGGATCTGAGGAGGAATGATGGTTGCAGATGAAGTGAAGGTTTCAGAGAATGAGAAGTTTGATGGCACCGATTTTGGATATCAGAGGATGCAGATAGAGGATTATCTTTATGGGAAGAAACTTCATCTTTCATTGTTGAGGAAAAGATATGAAAGGATGGATGAGGCTGAATGGAATTTGTTGGATCGACAAGTTCTGAGGGTTATTCGATTGACCCTATCGAGGTTCGTTGCACACAACATCGTCAATGAGAGGACGACTGCAGACTCATGGCAGCCTTATCAGGTATGTATGAAAAGCCATGTACTTAATGAAGAAGTTATTCAACTTGAAGATGGCAGAAGGTGTTTCTGTTGCTCAACACCTGAATAATTTCAATACTATCACAAATCAATTGTTGTCTGT